GCGTTGAGCATGAACATTATATCTGGATCTTGTTTGATGCGAGCCGGTTATTCATTTAAATCAGAGAAATAATGGTTGTTCTATTTATATGAGTAATATCTTTTATGGTCATGCACCCTTGATGAGTGGTCTATTTTGTTGAATCTCGATTGTAGTGATACACATATACATAATATTGAAGCCAAAAGATGCAAGGTTAATAATGATAGTGCAACTTATTTGTGGCACTGCCGTTTAGGTCATATTGGTGTAAAGCGCATGAAGAAACTCCATGCTGATGGACTATTGGAATCACTCGATTATGAATCACTTGATGCTTGTGAACCATGCCTCATGGCAAGATGACGAAGACCCCATTCTCCGGAACAATGGAGCGAGCAACTGACTTATTGGAAATAATACATATTGATGTATGCGGTCCGATGAGTGTTGAGGCTCGTGGCGGGTATCGTTATTTTCTGACCTTCACAGATGATTTGAGCAGATATGGGTATATCTACTTAATGAAACATAAGTCTGAAACATTTGAAAAGTTCAAAGAATTTTAGAGTGAAGTGGAAAATCATCGTAACAAGAAAATAAAGTTTCTACAAACTGATCGTGGAGGTGAATATTTGAGTTATGAGTTTGGTGTTCATTTGAAACAATGTGGAATAGTTTTGCAACTCACGCCACCTGGAACGCCACAGCGTAATGGTGTGTCCGGATGTCGTAACCATACTTTATTAGATATGGTGCGATCTATGATGTCTCTTACTGATTTACCACTATCATTTTGGGGTTATGCTTTAGAGACGGCTGCATTCATGTTAAATAGGGCACCATCTAAATCCGTTGAGACGACACCATATGAACTGTGGTTTAGCAAGAAACCTAAGTTGTCGTTTCTTAAAGTTTGGGGTTGTGATGCTTATGTGAAAAAGCTTCAACCTGATAAGCTCGAACCCAAATCGGAGAAATGTGTCTTCATTGGATACCCAAAGGAGACTGTTGGGTACACCTTCTATCACAGATCCGCAAGCAAGATAATCGTTGCTAAGAATTGATCCTTTCTAGAGAAGGTGTTCCTCTCGAAAGAAGTGAGTGGGAGGAAAGTAGAACTTGATGAGGTAATTATACCTTCTCCCGAATTGGAAAGTAGTTCATCATAGAAATTAGTTCCAGTGATTCCTATACCAAATAGTGAGGAAGCTAATGATGATGATCACGAAACTTCTGATCAAGTTACTAACGAACCTTGTAGGTCAACCAGAGTATGATCCGCACCAGAGTGGTACAGTAATCCTGTTCTGGAGGTCATGTTACTTGACCATGATGAACCTACGAACTATGAGGAAGCGATGATGAGCCCAGTCCGCGAAATGGCTTGATGCCATGAAATCTGAGATGGGATCCATGTACGAGAACAAAGTGTGGACTTTGGTTGACTTGCCTGATGATCGACAAGCAATAGAGAATAAATGGATCTTCAAGAAGAAGACTGACGTTGACGGTAATGTTACTGTCTACAAAGCTCGACTTGTTGCAAAAGGTTTTCAACAAGTTCAAGGAGTTCGCTACGATGAGACCTCCTCACCCGTAGCGATGCTTAAGTCTCTTTGAATCATGTTAGCAATTCTCGCATTTTATGATTATGTGATTTGGCAAATGGATGTAAAAACTACATTCCTTAATGGATCTCTTAAAGAAGAGTTGTATATGATGCAACCAGAAGGTTTTGTTGATCCAAAAGGTGCTAAAAAAGTGTGCAAGCTCCAGCGATCCATTTAACACTGGTGCAAGCCTCTCGGAGTTGGAATATACACTTTGATAGTGTGATCAAAGCATATGGTCTTATATAGACTTTTGGAGAAGCCTCTATTTTCAAGAAAGTGAGTGGGAGCTTTGTAGCATTTCTAATATTATATGTGGATGACATATTATTGATTGGAAATAATACAGAATTTCTGGATAGCATAAAAGGATACTTGAATAAGAATTTTTCAATGAAAGACCTCAGTGAAGCTACTTATATATTGGGCATCAAGATTTATAGAGATAGATCAAGACGCTTAATTGGACTTTTACAAAGCACATACCTTCATAAAGTTTTGAAGAAGTTCAAAATGGATTAGTCAAAGAAAGGGTTATTGCCTGTGTTACAAGGTGTGAAGTTGAGTCAGACTCAATGCCCGACCACTACAGAAGATAGAGAGAAAACGAAAGTCATTCCATATGCCCCAGCCATAGGTTTTGTCATGTATGCAATGTTGTGTACCAGACCTGATGTGTGCCTTGCTATAAGTTTAGCATGGAGGTACCAAAGTAATCCAGGAGTGGATCACTCGACAGTGGTTAAGAACATCCTGAAATACGTGAAAAGGATTAAGGATATGTTTCTCGTTTATAGAGGTGACAAAGAGCTCGTCATAAATGGTTACGTCGATGCAAGCTTTGACACTGATCTGGATAACTCTAAGTCACAAACCTGATATGTATTTATATTGAATGGTGGAGCTGTCAGTTGGTGCAGTTCCAATCAGAGCATCATGGCAGGGTCTACGTGTGAAGCGGAGTACATAGCTGCTTCGGAAGTAACAAATGAAGAAGTCTAGATGAAGGAGTTTATATCCGATCTAGGTGTAATACCTAGTGCATCGGGTCCAATGAAAATCTTTTGTGACAATACTGGAGCAATTGCCTTGGCAAAGGAATCCAGATTTCATAAGAGAACCACACACATCAAGAGACGCTTCAATTCCATCCGCGATCAAGTCAAGGAGGGAGACATAGAGATTTGCAAAATACATACGGATCTGAATGTTGCAGACCCGTTGACTAAGCCTCTCTAATGAGCAAAACATGATCAACACCAAGACTCCATGGGTGTTAGAATCATTACTATGTAATCTAGATTATTGACAACTCTAGTGCAAGTGGGAGACTGAAGGAAATATGCCCTAGAGGCAATAATAAAGTTGTTATTTATATTTCCTTATATCATGATAAATGTTTATTATTCATGCTAGAATTGTATTAACCGGAAACTAAGTACATGTGTGAATACATAGACAAACAGAATGTCCTCTCTACTAGACTAGCTCGTTAATCAAAGATGGTTAAGTTTCTGGCCATAGACATGTGTTGTCATTTGATGAACGGGATCACATCATTAGAGAATGATGTGATGGACAAGACCCATTCGTTAGCTTAGCATAATGATCGTTTAGTTGTATTGCTATTGCTTTCTTCATGACTTATACATGTTCCTCTGACTATGAGATTATGCAACTCCCGAATACCGGAGGAACACCTTGTGTGCTATCAAACGTCACAACGTAACTGGCAGCGGTGAGTAAATCTGGGAGTGGTTTTAGAAAAACTGGTTTAAACGGTTTGGTTTTTTATTATGGGCTTGATTGGTTTAGGTTTTATTGGGCTGAAGCTTTCTTAAGTTCGGTTTGGTTTGGGTTTGGAGGGAAACCAGTTTGGGTTAGCTGGTTATGGGCTGAAACCGTCTGATGTATTATGGGCTACAAACTGTGGGTACAACCCGGTTCGTTGTATTGGTTCGTTGCCTTTGACTACTCCTCAACCCAACCCACGCACCGCCCCCTGTCTTTTCCCCCGCACCGCCGCCCGCCCGCCCCTGTCTCTTCCCCCTCGCCGCCCCTTCCTCGCGCCGCCGCCTCGCCGTCACCCTCCGGCGTCGTCCCCTCCTCGTCATAGCATGAGCTACCCAGAGCTGGCCCGCCCATCAGTGCCGCTGCCCCTCCCCGCCCGCTAGGGTTGAGGTCGCCGGGCCGTCTCCGCCGCGCCACCTTCCCTCCGCTGGCAGGTAGCTCTCTCTCTCTCTCACTCTCTTTCTCTCTCTCTATGTGTGTCTCTCTGACCAGCCTGTTTCTTCTCTTTTAACCAGGTTCTGCTCCTCCTGCGGCAAGGTCCTGGTCCTCCACTTGCTCCTCCAAGGTGCTCCGGTGGCAAGGTGCCCATCCCCTCCTCGTCTGCAGCAACAACAGCAGCAAACAGGTCTGCAACAACAGTTTAGGTGCCCGTCCCCTCCTCGTCTACAGCAACAACGCACGAACCACTTCAATTTGTTCTCTGTACATGTTCGGTTCAGTTTTAGTTTGCATCTGTCCATTACAATAGTTTGCAAATTTATTTGAATACAATTTTGATGGACACGGCAGCAAGTGTATGAGATGCAGTTTGTTCTTCCTTGTGAAGAGCTTTGATGATAAAAGTAGCATTTTTAAGTTGCAGCTTAGGATTACAGGAGTTTGTATTAGCACCAAAATTCTCAGTAGGAACAAAATTGCATTCAAATACAGGGACAATAGGACCAAAATATGTGGCGCTTTAAGACATCTGCAGGGTCTCTAACGGGACAACTTCAAATATTTGACACTCGTTGCTTCCCAGATTAGATTGTACTACTCTTCTGAATCCGGCTTTCATTTGTTCAAGTATTTGGCGCTAGTTGCTTCTCAGTTTAGATCCCATATCTATACTGAATCATCCTTCTATTTGACACTCGTTGCAATATGTAGAAGTGATGGAATTCTCCCGCTCAGGCGAGTACAGTGTCCAATGTTTTAGTTTCCCAATATTCTTTTGAGAAACTTTGTAGCGATATTGGTCAATCTCTAGAGCAGGAATTATGTTTTGGTTCGACTATTTCCCTTGCTCAAGTTTCTCATTGCATGGAGTGTATGTATCTGTACTAAGACTAGAACAGAGTAGCACAGAGTATTCTGTAATGGAATTTACTCAGTAAGAAATATTAGCAAGACTGTAAGATATGCAATTTAATCATTAGATGGTAAAGCTTAGTTCACAATTACAAATTTCTTTGTTAGGAATAGTGACTTTTATTGCTACTAGTACTAGTATTAACCTGCTTGCACCTTGCATCTACATTCACAGGCCACGCACCAAGGACGGGAAAAACACACCAACCCAGACCACTCGACCGATCGATCAGTCACTGTAGTAATTACTCACTAGTAATTTGAGGCATGTCTACATTAGAGGGTTCGGAGAGTGCTGATTCCATGGATGAGGATACGAGTCAAGTACCACATGCTAGAAGGTCCAAGGCATGGGAGCATTATGAAGCAGATCTGGTTCTCGTAGAGGGTGATCTCAAGGCTATGTGCAAATACTGTGGAGTGCAACTTCACACCAAGTTTGGGACAAGCAGTTTGAGGACCCATATTGCAGAGGCTTGCCGATCAATTCCGGATGCTTGCAGGAACAGGTTTTTGTTGACCATGAAAAAAAAACATCCGAAGGTCTGTTTGTGTTTGATGAAAAAGTTTGTCGTGAACTCATGGTGAAGTATTGCGTCCATGCTGAGATCCCCTTTCTTAAGTTTGAAGATCCCCACCTCCAGCCATGGATTGACTCAATGCAGCCAGCATTTCAAATCAAGGGTCGTCACACAATTCGTGATGATGCAGTGAAGATGTATAAGGGAATGAAGAAAGATATTGAAGTAGAGCTACAAAATTTGGATTCTCGCATTTGCTTAACATCTGACATGTGGACATCATCACAGGACTTGGGCTACATGTGCATCACCGCCCATTATATCAATGCAGAATTCAACTACAAGAAGAAGACCATAAGTTTCGCAGAAGTGAAGTATCCCCACACAGGCTATGCCATAGAGGAAGAAATAGTTCGTTGCTTAACATAATGGGGCATAAGAGGCAAATTATTCACTTTGACACTAGATAATGCCAGCAATAATACTAATGCATGTGAGGAGTTAATAAAATATCACAAACATGAGATGCTCCTTGAAGGTCAACATTTGCATGTCAGGTGTTGTGTGCACATTCTTAATATCTTGGTTCAGGATGGAATGAAAATAATCCATGAAGCTATTGACATGATACGTGAGCTGATGAAGTATATGGACTCTTCTCCTTCAAGACTTCAAGATTTCAATACAATTGCAAGTGGGATGGGTCTACGTGCAAAGAAAGGCATCTCTGTTGATACACCAACCAGATGGAACTCAACCTGGAAAATGCTTGTAGAAGCATTGACGTACAAATCTGTTCTCACTAGTTATGCCAACAGAAAGATGATAGATTCTCCAAGTGAGGAGGAATGGGAGAAGGCAAAAGCTATTTGTGAGTTTCTAAAAGCTTTTGAAGAGCTTACTTTGATTGTTTCGGCTCATAGGAAGCCAACTTCACATAAGTTTCTGCCAGTTGTGCTTTCTATTCGCCATGCATTGAAAGATCCGGGTTGGCAGACCTCTGATGTGTTGGAGGAATTGGCGGCAGTGATGCAAACGAAGCTTGATAAATATTGGGATCCCGAGGAGAAGGACAATGCAGATCCTAACCGTCGTAGAAAAAGCAAGGGCATTGAGTTTAACCATGCACTTGTCATTGCTACATTCCTGGATCCAAGGAGGAAAGAAGATTACTTGGATTTCTTCTATTGCAAGTTGTCTACCGACGGGGAGCAAATTACAAAACAAGTGGAGATTGCTTTAGAATGGGTGAGAAAGTATGTCAAGGAATATGAGCTACTTGCAGCGACAAGCACTGCACACTCGACACCTTCTAGTCAAGGCAATACCATTATTGGATCACCTGTTGCAGGGAAAAGGAAGTTGGAAGAAGAGTTTGCCCAGCACAAGTCTCATCGGAGGTCACGTGTACACAAATCCGAGCTTGATGCATACTTGGAAGAAGCATTCGAGAAGGTCGGTGATGACTTTGATGTCTTGGGTTGGTGGAAGAGGCATGGTGAAAAGTTTCCTATATTGGCATCTATGGCCCGTGACTTTCTTGCAATTCCTTTGAGCACAGTGGCATCTGAATCAACCTTCAGTTGTGGTAAGAGGATACTCGGTGACAAGAGAAGCTCTTTGAACCCTGATATGCTAGAAGTGCTTGTTTGTGCTAAAGATTGGTTGTTCAAACCAAAGGAGGGTGAGTTAACTGCTTACATTTTGGTTCTACTACTTGTGTAGAATGGGATATATAAAACCTACAGTATAGAAGTAGTATAGAAGTGTTGATATGCCTTTAAATTAATATTTTGTTTCATTTGCAGGAGATGGACAGTAAGGACGCAGCTAAAAGTTTTGAACCAATGAAAGGTAAAAATATAATCCTGATCATCCATATATATATATGCAATGGCTAGTGAAGTTTCGAAGTTGGTGGCCAAGTTGGCTCTTTAGAAAATCCTGATCATCGATAAAATGCTAGACACAAGTTGCCATTTTGTAACGGGACAAGCAAATTGTTATGTTTATAAGTCTACCTTTTTGTGATGTTGCACAAGTTAGTGGAACCTCTTTGGTATCCGTTCTTTATTTTACTAGAAAAGGCTAAAGAATCACATCCATGCTATTGTATATTCCAGGTTATTCACTCTGTCATACGCACCTACTTTACATAGTGTAAAGCAGCCATATGTAATATGTTGCCAAAAATTACATAAACTTGAGATGTTCTCAAACCTGGGAGAAGCTGGAGCATGGCATGAGCAACTAGTGATCCAGACTCATAGTTCTAAAAATTGTGTCTTTTCAGATCAAGGTACAAGCTGACTACTACCTCTTTGAGAACTCAGTGACATCCATCTTTGGCAGATGGCGTAACGCAATCCTGGCTTGGAATCCATTATCAGCCTTAATTCAGCTCCGTTTGTTATTAGCTATGTACTTCAAGTGCTGGTAGTGCAGAATGTGTAAGCTATCAAGTGTAATATTTGTGCTTCAGAATCTGTGTTTTGTACATGTTATGAAGCTGTCAAGTGTTCATGTTATGAAGTTGTCAATTGTTCATCAATTTAAGTGTTGGTAGTGCAGAATATGTAAGCTGTCAAGTGCAATGTCTGTATATGTTATTAAGTTAGTGCTATGTTTTAGCAGTGAAGTGCAGGATCGTACATATATTGAGTTGTACATGTATGGGTGGGGAACTGATATAGAACCATAGGCTAAAACCATAGTTTCTAGAATGGGTTAGTTTGGTTTTGGGGAATTTGTCACGTGGTTTAGTTTGGGCTGGGTGCCAATGCCAATTACGTGGGGTTAGTTTGGTTCAGTTTCCAAACCATCATCACGTGGGTTCAGTTCAGGTTTGGTTTGGTTACCCACCCATTCTCAGATTTACCGGTGAGGCTACAGGCTGCTGCGTGCGGCCTCCTAGCGCGTCGGCGTGTGTGGGAGATGTGTGGTCTGCAGCTGCCGCTCCTCCCAAGTGTGCATCGCTGCGTAAAGGACCTTGATCTCGTCCGCTGTGTCGAGGATCTTGGGCATGTGGTTTTCCCCACAGGCGGCGGGCATGTTGTTTTCCCCACGGACAGCGACCTCAAAGTCTGTGACATCGGCGGTTGGGAGGCGCACCCCTCCTCTCCATTCTTCATCGGAAGCCCTCCACTCTTCTCTGTGTGGTGCAGACCTATAGCCGCCCGGCGGGGAGAAGGCATGGTGTCACCGATAGGAGCACACCGCGTAGCACCACTGCATTCCGCCGTCGGCCGCCGCGAGGGCGCCTCTGCTGGTCACTTTTGCGACCACTTCCAGGTGGTCATACACATGCACTCCTTTTGTCCAGATGGTGTCCATGGGATCCAGGTGACTGTACGCGTGCATGTCCGACATGCGGATGGTGTCCACTTTATGTTCAGGGGTCCAAAATAAAGCGTCCCAGTCCATTTCAGGTTGAGAGTAATAACACAAGCCGAGATGTAAAAGGCTTGTTTTTAGGTGTTAGGTTTGTGTTGCGTCGAGTCATGGTTATAAGTTGGTTAGGTTGCACCTCGAGGACAAGTTGCATGTCCAGGTGGGGTGTAGTGTTAGAGTACATAATGGGCCTAATGGGCCTGGGCTGGTGGTATAGCCCGTTAGTCTTAGGGTTAATTAGAGATAAGGGTCGCTTGCTTAGGGGTCAAGTAAGCCTTGTTGGGGAGTCAAGTAAACCTCTCTATATAAGGGGAGGGGATGTATCAATCTAATCAAGCAAGAATTAAGAAGGAAATCCCTTCCCTCTTGCCCGGCCATGGGCAAAAAGGCCCCCGGCCGGCCCTCTCGCGCCCTCCTTCTAGCAGCTCCATAACTTCTGCTTCATCCCACAATACCGCGGAATCAAAATAAGACGTTGGTGGTAAGCAGTATGACTATCACCGCCGACAACTCTTTGTGTTCTACTCGTGCATATCATTTACGCATAGACCTGGCTCATGATGCCACCATTGGGAAACGTTGCATGGAAAACAAAAAAAAATCTATGCACACGCAAGATCTATCCATAGAGATGCATAGCAACGAGGGGGGAGTGTGTCTACGTACCCTCGTAGACCGTAAGTGGAAGTGTTTCACAACGCGGTTGATGTAGTCGAACTCTCTTCGTGCTCCAACCGATCTAGTACCGAACGCACGGCACCTCCATGTTCTGCACACGTTCAGCTCATTGACTTCCACCGCCTTCTTGATCCAGCAAGACAGCGAGGTAGTAGATGAGTTCCGATAGCACGGCGGCGTGGTGATGGTTATAGTGAAGTGATCTCCGCAGGGCTTCTCCAAAGCACTACGAAAATATGACCGAGGGTGTAAACGGTGGAGGGGGGCGCCGCACACGGCTAGGCAATTGTCTGGTATGTGCTAGGGGCACCCCCACATATATATAGGTGGGAGAGGGGAGGGAGCAGCCAAGAGGGCGCCCCAAGTAGGCCGAATCCTACTTGAGGTCCTTCCCTAAGTGGCGCCCCCGCTTTCGTTAATTGCCGGAGAAGAAAGGAAAGGGGGAAGAGAGAAGGAAGGGGAAGCCGACTCCTCCCCCTTCCTTCCCCACTTGGCCAACTGCCATGGGGGGCACGCCAGCCCCTTGTGGGCTGGTGTGCTCCCCTCTTGTGGCCCAATAGGCCCAATATACTCCCAGGGGTGAATGTTACCCCCTCTGGTACTCTGATGACTATCTGGTTTTCTCCGAACACTTCTGGTGTCCGAATACCATCGTCCTATATATCAATATTTACCTCTTGAACATTTCGAGACTCCTCGTCATGTCCATGATCTCATCCGGGACTCCGAACAACATTCGGTCACCAAATCACATAACTCATATAATACAATATCGTCGTCGAACGTTAAGCGTGCGGACCTTACGGGTTCGAAAACTATGTAAACATGACCGATACACCTCTCCGGTCAATAACCAATAGCGGAACCTGGATGCCCATATTGGCTCCTACATATTCTACGAAGATCTTTACCGGTCGAACTGTTATGAAAACATACGTAATTCCCTTTGTACATCGGTATGTTACTTGCCCGAGATTCGATCGTCGGTATCTTCATACCTAGTTCAATCTCGTTACCGACAAGTCTCTTTACTCGTTCCGTAATACATCACCTCATGACCAACTCCTTAGTCATTTGCTTGCAAGCTTATGATGTGTATTACCGAGAGGGCCCAGAGATACCTCTCTGATACTCTGAGTGACAAATCCTAATCTCGATCTACGCCAACCCAACAAACACCTTCGAAGATACCCGTAGAGCATCTTTATGATCACCTAGTTACGTTGTGACGTTTGATAGCACACAAGGTATTCCTTAGGTATTCGGGAGTTTCATAATCTCATAGTCGAAGGAATATGTATTTGACATTAAGAAATCAATAGCAATAAACTGAACGATCAATATGCTAAGCTAACGGATGGGTCTTGTCCATCACATCATTCTTCTAATGATGTGATCCCGTTATCAAATGACAACTCATGTCTATGGTTAGGAAACCTTAACCATATTTGATCAATGAGCTATTCTAGTATAGGCTTACTAGGGACACAATATTTGTTTATGTATTCACACATGTATTTAAGTTTCCAATCAATACAATTCTAGCATGAATAATAAACCTTTATCATGAAATAAGAAAATATAAAATAACAACTTTATTATTGCCTCTAGGCATATTTCCTTCACAATGCTCACAATGATAAGTTCAAAAATCGGTAATCATGCATAATGGACATATATTTCATTCAGTGGGACATAATATATGAAGAGAACATACAACATATGAGCTCTAAAAATGCATAAAATATAGAGCCATCAGCAACCTTCCAAGAGAAGTTTCGAAATGAATGAGGTATGTCACACGACCAAATCAAGTGCCAGCACGATCGGCGGCCATCTGACCTAGTGCTTGACCCTATTGCGGCGCCTCTATGAGCATCTTCAAAAGTCAATTGGTAAGCACTTTTAATAGTAAAAATCCCATACACATCAGGACCCTAAGAAAGTGTGTCGTCCTCTAACCGGGGTGAAGCACGAATTTTCATAATATCAGAAACATTGGCTGGCAAGGAATACTCCTATAGCAACCCATAGTTCCATGACCCATTTTCATTTAGAAACTCAGACATGAACCAAATGTGACATCTTTGCCTGTAGTATAGCAGGCTTATAGGAGGAGGGGGCGGGGATCGAATTATGACGCCAAACTCGGGTGCTTCCGTTGTTCCAAACTCTCCATACCAAAGCCCTTTTCAATAAAGCCCGTAGCTAATTTCCTGCAATGATGACGAGGCATTTCCGGTAGAGATTGTGTCCTCAAGCTTCCCTTCAGGGTAGTACCTGGCCTTGAGTACTTGTGCATAGAGGCTCTCTGGTTTAGAAATTAACCGCAAAGCCTGTCGAGCTACCAATGCTTGATTGAAAAGACGAAAGTCATAGAAACGAGCACCACTTTTATTTCTCGGTTGCAACAATTCATCCCAAGCAAGCTCTTCTACTCACCTCGATAGGAGTCATATTACCAGCAAGAACACTATGCTTGAGAATTGAAGATAGACCATCAGCCACAAAAAGAAATAAAAATGGATAAATATGGTCCCCTTGTTGAAATTTACCATTTAGGAAAAAAAAATTCTCCAGCTGCTTCTCACAAAAATAAAAAAGAAAAAGAAAAGGAGTACTAAGCTATGCTGAAAAAATCTAGCAGGAAAACCGCCCGGCTCAGAGCCTTTAACGGACCAATCTAAAATAAAGGCATTCGCGGTTTCCTCACTAAAAAAAAGAAAGCACAAAGTCATTCATTATCTGCCTCGGCCACCCTAGCTTCCAAAAGATCAAGAACCAGAGAAGTGTCAAGTGACGGGACCGCCGAGTAAATACCTTGGAAATACTCATTAGACTATTCACGGCGAGAGTAAGTGGTAACATCACACATATTTAGACAATAATGTGACAAGTAATTAATGAAGAAAGAGAGGGTGTGGTAACATAACCAGTTACTGTAACATCACATATATTAAGACAAGATGGGTCTACAACCTAGTAAATGATGTGATGCATGACACCACATATGTTACTTCCCACTATAAAGATAGTAACATAGACTAATAACATAGGCATGTTAGTGCTCTAAGTTACTCCCCAATGTGACTAGTCTTAGCCAAACTAGCCATCTCACCAGAGTCAGAGTGGACAACACCAAAGTCAAGTCTATTTCGAGTCATGGTTGAAAGCTTGTACCAGTAAACTGTGAATAAACAAAGTATCGTACCGAACTAATTGACCTGATATTATTCCATTTGATTTGAATTTCAAAAAAAAATGAAGATAGTATTCCATTTGAACAGGTACTCCCTTGTCCAATTTGCAGTTTCGTTCATATAATGGTCAGCATAAATGCCACAAGAACAAGTCTACACTGCATGTACATGCCCTTCAAGGCAAACAGAAGCATATGCTATGTACACTCTACCAAAGCAAAGCAATTGAATCTGGAATCTGGAATCAGCAAAGAATGGCCGACATAAATCTAGGCAAATATACTTCAGTGCAGGAAGAATCATCATCACAGTGTCACCTAGATCTAGATGATCGACCCCCTGGACTGGAAGAGATCTAACCGGGCCTTGGCGTCCGGCAGCAGTCGCTCGACGCGCAGGTCCTGCACCAACTGCGGCTGCTTCGACGCCCACAGGAGCACGGCGAGCACCCCGGCCTGCGCCACCTCCTCGCTCTCCGGCACATGCAGCGCGATGTAGCAGAGCAGTATGAGCGCCTCGATCTGCAGCTCGTCCCCGAGGTACACGAGCTGGACCAGGTGCCGCGCCCCGCCCTCGTCCACGATGGCCCTGCAGTGGTTCACGTGCAGGTGGTTCTCCGTGCACGCGAACTTGGTGAGCGCCACGATGGCCTCCTTGGCCACCGGGGGCTCGCGGTCGTCGAGCAGCCGCACCAGCGGGCCGATCACGCGCGTCTCGCTCGCCGTGAAGGTGCGCGACAGGCAGCCCAGCGAGGTGATGCACGGGAGCAGCAGCGGGTCGTCGTACTCCCCCCTGCGCACAATGCAGAGCAGCTGCTCCGCCACGGCCTTGGCCGGCGGCGAGCTGGGCTTGAATGCCGACTGCCGTAGCGCGAGCTTGTGCTCGGCGACGCGGGTGATCTCCATGATCGCCATGGCGGAGTAGTACTGCAGGTGCGTGCCTGCGCCGTCGTCGCCCTTCTCGAGCAGCCTGGCGAAGCAGAGGAGCGCGCGGGACTCTGTTATGCTCTTGCAGACTCCCGGGTGGCCGCGGGCAAGCTTCCAGAGGGCCTTCGCCGCCATGGCCTTCATGTGCGCCTTGGTGGCCGGGTCCTCGGTCTCGCGCGGTCCACGGCCGTTCGAGCCGTTCGAGCTCAGCTGGGGCCTACTGGGTGGTGGAGCCGTGACCCGGCTCGTCGTTGTCCTGCCGGCTGCAGCGGAGTGCATCTGGTTGTTGCGTCCGTTCGAGCCTTCCGACGAGCTCGACGGTTCGTTGGCGGAGTGACCAGAGATTCCTGGGAGCATGCTGGGTGTGCTGGCGAGCACGACAGAGTGAAGCGACCTCATGTGCTCCGGCGGAGGAGGTGCAGCGTGCCGGGTGCTGCTTCCTCCGACAGAGTACCTGCTGTGCTCTTGGATGGTTCCGGCGGCGAGGTGGCCGACGAGGTGCCGGACGGCGTTGTTCTGCGCGAACAAGTCCTGGCATCTCGGGCTCTGGTGCGCCAGCGACGCGATGGCCTCGGCGGCCGCGGCCTGCACGCGCATCGGCGGCTCCTTCAACGCGGCGGAGTAGACGGAGCAGACCCCGGCATGGAGAAGCTTCTCCACGCTCCCCTCGTCGCGCCCAAGGAACCCGAGCGCCGTGGCGGCCGCCTCCTGGCCGTCGTCGGTCCCTTCTTTGAGCAGCTTGACGAGGGGCGCGATGCCGTCCTCCTCGACGATGAGCTTGGAGAAGTGGGGGTTGTCCCGGGCGAGGGAGGCGAGGGTGGAGGCGGAGTCGGCCCGCACGGCGAGGCTGCCGGTGTGGAGGCGCGCGATGTGGTCCCAGATGAGGAAGAGTATGGGCTCGTTCTGCGCGATGTTGGGGAGGCCGCGCAGGTCGTCGTCGTCGTCGTGGGCGCCGTTGCCGTTGGCGTCGGCGTCGGCGCGCGGGGAGGAGATGCGGATGAGCCAGGCGACGTCCTCGACGGCGGTGTCGAGCAGCGCGAGGGTGCGCGGGAAGCCGGAGACGGGGTTGAAGGTGAGGAAGCGGCGGAGGCGGGAGTGGCTCTCGAAGCACCTGGCCGACATGCCGCCGGCCTTGGCCAGCGCCTGCAGGGTGCCGGCGACGATGCGCTCGGCGGGGCGCTCGTAGAGGTCGGCCCGCGCCGCCTGCCGCAGCACCTCCGCGAGCTTCTCCGCCCGCGCGCGCAGCTCCTTGCACTCGGGCCGGAGGCACTGGCCGGAGCCCGACTGCTTGGCCACCTGGTCCGCCAGCTTGATCGGCTTCGCCAGCAGCGCCTTCACGCCCTCCCCCATATCCCAAGAAAATCAAGCTCAAAACTCACCAGCGGCCGAAGCTTAGCAGAATTGCACTGTTTGAATCCCCCCGGATTGGAGCTTGAAGCCTTAAATTGGGAGGCTCCGTTCTGCCACCGACGGCCGGGCTGCCGATGAGAACGAGGCGGGCGATGGTGGTGGATGACTGGACCGGAGTGGATTCCAAAGCTGCGGTTTGGGCTATCCTTCTTCCGTCTGTTTGAAAGCAACGCGCGAGCCGACGAGGGAGGAGAAGAGAAGGGGTGGGGTTTAATGGGGCCGACCAGGACGAGCCGAGACGACCTGACGGGGGGAGACCGGAGAGGCTGCCGTGGTGTGGACAGCCGCCCCCTGGGCGCATTTCTGGGGCGGTTTCCTGAGTGGAACTAGCCTAGTTTATGGCCATCGAACTTGCTTGGTGGATTTCGTGCCAAATGGTGCGAGATTTCTTCAAGTTTTCTCCACCGATTCCCTCCGAACCTTCCTTTTCTTTTTCGGGGCACTCCTTTTGTTTGCCCCCTAACCCAAGGTCATAAAATAACTCGGGCATCGGTCCAAGTAGTCGGCCGTCCGTGTCGTCCAACAGCAAAGATCTGATCCAATCGCTGGATCAAGCTTTGTGCATGACCCGGTCAGACTGGGCAACAACAGCTTCCTGATTAAGGAACGCGAGAGTGGCCCAGCGGTCCCATATAAATCCTCCAAATCGAATTGTGTGCAATCATGGATGCGGTTGCTGCCTTTGGTTCTCTGATTGATTGCGATCTAGCAAGTTATTCTTCCCACCGTGCGTTGCCGGATTTGACAGGAGCGGCTCGATATCTTCTTGCGGTCTCCTCGTTTATCTCTTGTTCTGGAGAGACATTCCTGGGCAACCATCAAAGCAGCATCTTCTTTCCCCGCTTGGGATCATCTCTGTTCAGAGAGGCAAGTTGACAATCTTCTTGCCAAGTCCATTCGACAGAATAATACCAACAGTAATGAAATCCAAGGAGGTGTACAGGAAAAAAAATACAAGGATAGGGTTTTGTTTTCCTTTGCTTGATGGTACTATTGGTCGGTTTAATTTGTCATCACTAAAGTAAAGCGAGAACGTAAGCAAAAGAAATTTTGCTTCTATCCTAGATGCCTAAGTTTCACTTGAATTCAATCTGAGTACGAGTGCTCCACTCGGCTCGAGTCCTAGCGAGTTCCTGCCCCTTAAGCGTGTGATGATAGGTCTTCAGGGTATCTATAATTTTTTATATGTTTCATGTCTATTACCATCCATTTATGCAATGTTTTTGAAGTTTTTCTAGAACTAACCTATTATATTCAATGGCCAGTGTGAGTTCCTCTTTTCTATACTTTTTATATTTCAGGAAAAAATATCGACGAACCATGAAAAAATTCAGAGGCTCTTAGGATGTCTAAAGGAGCATTGCAACCAGAGGCAGGGCAATGAGACGCCCACAGGGCCTAGACGCCATAGGGGACAGGGCGCCTACACAAAGCTTATATCAGCTCTAGGGGGGGGGGGGGGCTGGTGCCCTCCCCTAGCCTCAATGTTGTATATACCACTGTCATTTCACGTTCCGAGGCAATCTTCATTTCAGCCATGATCAAATACTCTTTTGGAGGGGGAATTCATTGTCGTCTTCATCAACCTTGATCACTGTTGCCCCAATATGAGTTGGGAGTAATCTATCTCCTAGATTACGGCTTCATGGCAGTAGTCAAATCTCTCCTCTTTGTTGTTCGATACAATAGTCATTGAGCTTCCCTACATGATTATGGTCCATTTGATGTAAAACCTAACGATTATGTTGATCATGTGATGAATTATTTTCTTATCTTCAAATTGTGTTGATGCCCCATGTTTGATTTATAAATGCATAATTTTCGCTGGTTACTAGCCTTTGCTTGGCCAGTTTAGATGGGCAATTAATAGTGGGAAATGTGTGCATTAGTTAGATTTAATCTTGCAAGTAAACTAACATGTTGGCAGTAAATGAAAAGGATTGCATTGATTATTGCCACTAGAGATAAATGTTTGTATGTGGCCTCTAATGAAATCATGCAAATAAAATTATATCATATTGCTTAAGAAAATTGTCCGTTTTATGCTTAATACTTTGACGATGCAGAGAGAATCTCGTTGAAGACCAGATTATTAGGTTATATATGTTGGGAGGTCTCTGTCTATACAATTGCGGACGTACTGCCTATATAAAATCAACACATTACACGCAATCTAGCATGAACATGTGAAAGTGTAACTAATCCCCGGGTGGTTTTGACAATTCAAAACAACATATAGATCATTGAACTAATACCCATTTAAAATAAATATTTCAGAAAGTTCAATGAATGGCATGGCATGGACTAGAGATGTGGACCCCTCAAAATGCTAAGGACATATATTGGCAAAAACTCAAGACTCTTCATCTTTATTTTAGTGATCCAAGATCACATTGAGTCCACAGAAAAGCCAATACTATTAAAAGGGGATGAGATGTTACTTAATGGCTTGCTTGCTCAAATGCTTAGTGATATTGCTCCAAAACCCTTAGCCACTTTCTCCATCCAAATATGTCAAAACCCTCAACTCCAACTTGGCCCCACAGATTCTTTCTATCCGGCGCCACCGAGTTCATATGACATAGCCACTGCTAGAAATCCTAACACTTCGGTCTCACCTATACGGGTCTCAGTCTCGCCGAGATTGCCTTGCCAACGCTCTGTGACCTGTTGCATTTATTTCGGTTTCACCGAGTTATGCAATTTGTCTCATCATGTGAATTTGCTATTCGTTCGATATTTTGATGAGATGTATGTTGTCTTTCCTCCAATGGTGTTATGTGAACGTTGACTACATGACACTTCCTCATGATTTGGGCCTTGGGGGAGGCATTGGGAAGTAATAAGTAGATGATGGGTTGTTAGAGTGACAGAAGTTTAAACTCTAGTTTATAAGTTGCTTCGTAAGAAGCTGATTTGGATCCACATGTTTATGTTATGGTTAGATTTATCTTAATTCTTTTTTCGTAGTTGCGGATGCTTGCGAGAGGGGTTAATCATAAGTGGAGGCTTGTCCAAGTAAGGACAGCACTCAAGCACCGGTCCACCCACATATCAAATTATCAAAGTAACGAACGTGAATCATATGAGCATGATGAAAACTAACTTGATAGTAATTCTCATGTGTCCTCGGGAGCACATTGCTTTATATAAGAGTTCGTCCAGTCTTATACTTTGCTACAAAAAGGATTGGGCCACCTTGCTGCACTTTTTTTACACTTGTTACTTGTTACCCGTTACGAATTATTTATCACAAAACTATCTGTTACCGATAATTTCAGTGCTTCCAGAGAATACATTGCTGAAAACCGCTTGTCATTTCCTTCTACTCCTCGTTGGGTTCGACACTCTTACTTATCAAACTTGCCGGTGAGAAAAGGTTGTTTGACATTAGCTCACTTGATGAATGGAGAACCCAAGCCTATGAAAATGCCAAGTTGTTTAAAGAAAAAGTTAAAAGATGCCATGAAAAAAGAATACAAAAGCGTGAATTCAATGTAGGTGACCATGTCTTGCTATACAATTCTCATTTAAGATTTTTTTTGCAGGAAAATTTCTCTCTAAATGGGAAGGACCCCTACATTGTCGAGGAAGTTTATCGTTCCGGTGCCATCAAGATTAACAACGCCGAAGGCAATAACCCGAAGGTGGTAAATGGGCAAAGAATCAAACATTATATCTCAGGTACTCTCATAAATGTTGAAACCAATATTATTAATACCATAACACTGGAGGAGTACATAAGGGAAACCTACTAGAACATTCCAGACTCTAAAAAGGAATAGGTATGTGATATAGTAAGTAAACCGACTCCAAAACTTTTCCAATGGCAATTTTACTCCGTTTTAGAATATTTAAAAAATTAGGAAAATAAAAAATAGTCCAAAAAGTGCACGAGGAGGCGACAAGCCTTGGGGGCTCCCTACCCCTTGGACGCGCCTCCTGATGAAGCTATGTACCTAGGGTAGGGGCATGGACCTGTCCTAAGAGCCCTACCCAAGGACATCCCTGGAAGAAGTCACCTTTCAATTGACTTGAGGGTATCCCACTCGACGGATTCAAGACACTCGACCAGGAAGCTACCACTCGACTACGAAGCCAACCACTCGACTGACAGGAGATCTAAAGTCACTCCGCAAGCAAACGGTCGGCCATTAAGTAGTCTTTATGGTCATCATAGCACTTTAATAGGGACGTTACCAGTAACGCCAGTCTTAATGTATTTTAACCCTGCATTACTAAGGACCGGAAGGGTCCGGCGAACTCTATATAAGTCACCCTCTCCTCAGTAGCGGGGGTTGGCACCCCTGTAATTCATACACACATAATCCAGTCGACCGCCTCCGGGCACCGAGACGTAGGGCTGTTACTTCCTCCGCGAAGGGCCTGAACTCGTACATCCTGGTGTATTTACAGCTTCTCCATAGCTGAGATCTAGCCTCTCCATACATACCCCCCTACCTCACTGTCAGAGTTAGAACCACGACAGTTGGCGCCCACCTTGGGGCCGGAGTCTTAGCGCCTAGTTGGAGAAGTTGCGATTTTTCCGATCCCTTTGATCATGTTTTCGTGCGGAGATTTGGTGGAGGGCCGCGAGATCCGTCTTGGCGCACTCACGTTCGTCGCCGACAACTCCGCTTGGCTTCAGGAGGCTCCACTCGACATCGACGCCCTCCCCGTCCGCGGTGCGATGCACTTCCACGCATGTGTTCATGGCGTCCTCCTGCGGCAGCCGTCGACCCAGTATCGGTCGGCTCCCATGTCATCTTCTCGCCCTGTCTCCCACCGGCGCAAGCGCTCCGGCCAGTCGAGACTTCAGAGGTGGGTGAGGCATGCCGTGGCCCGCCAGTCGGCAGCCCCACAAGTCGCGGCAATCGAGCCCAACGAATCCCTCTACAGCCTGTTCGACTTGTCGACTGGCTCCGCGGAGACCGCATCCG